CCACGTGTGATGGAGCGAACGGGTTAGTAATCTAGAGATAAGTCATCGTCTGGTTGAGAGCCTTCAGCCCTCAGTTCAGTTTTTACAACCATTAACCATGCACTTTCATGCCCTGATTTTTGGTTGCCCATTTGGATAAAACAGCAGAATGAAGATTGGGATTTTGAGAGTAAATTCAACGGAAAGATAGAAAATTCAAATAAACTGAGGATGAAAGAATAATGAGTAGATGCATGAGCGCCACTGGTGACGACATCCAACCATATTACTCAGTGTCTCTAACCATCGGTGGCAATGATCTCGAGGTTTCCAGTTAGGGGGCTTAACGGGACCTATGTGCCCAAGTCTCCTGGTTAGAGTTTCCATACCCTTTGTTTGATCACCCATGGCCTTTTTCCGACGCCTACCTGTCTCGGTACACCGTGGACATGTATTTAGAAGCCAACCAATTTCACTCGGAGTGGTTCACAGAAAACGACAATGACAACATTCTGTAGAGTTCATTTAATTTGCCACTCTAGTGGAATTTCAAATCACTTTACTCACTTCGTTCTCGAGCCGTGTTCTTGACTTCGGGGACGTTCCATCGACCGATGCAGATCGTCCCGTGATCGTTGCAATTCCTGACGTGAATGTATTGATTCCATAGAGTTGGTCTTTTTCACATCTAATGAGTCACTTTTCCGAACGATTTTCTCGTCCACTGCATCCACATCGGTCTCTGGCCAACCACGTTGGATCATTGCGCTGGGTGGTCTGGCCGGACTGACCGAACTGGTTCGGATCGCGGAGATCAGTTCGGATTCCGACGCGTGTCTCTGCTGGTCACGTGGTCGACGAGATGATCCCTCGGTTGTTGATTCTGTGATCGGAGATCAAAGGGGGGACAGAAGCACTCTGTTACCACGATCTATCGAAATGGACATCACGGCGGACTATTTGCATCATCCGTTTCAGTTGTCAAGCGTTATGTGCTTAAAGTAATCCGGTTTATTCTCCAACAGGATCAGAGCAGTTGTCCGGTGACTGCATCATTAAGCTAAGTGAAATGATTTGTATGAAAGCGCACGTGTGTCTGTGTGAGAGCACGCTGGTGTGTGTACTTGTAACGATCATGCAATCGAGTGACCAATCAGTTAGGACTGATTACACATATTTCACTACAGGATAACCTTTAACCATCACCGGGATTGG